TCTGCTGAAAATGTATATGTCTGACATGGTTTTCTTTTAGCTAATGCAAACATTTCAAATACTTCTCAGTTTGCTGACATTTGTCTGAATATGCACTGCTCTAAGTGATGGAACTTTGTCCCACAGAATACCAGAAATAATGGTATCAAATTATAAAAACACTGCTAACTATGTGCAGTGTATGCAAAGAAAACCACTGACTAGCTTTTCCTGCTCACAAGAAGGGAATAATTTAACACTGACAATATAATCTTCATTCCTTTCTTTGTTATCCAGTACCAATGCTTTTGCATTAGCTATCATTATTACAGAAAAAAGAATAGCATCTGCAAAATTAAAATTGAATTCTTTGGTAGGGGGGGAAAAAGAAGCAGCACATTAAAATTTGAAAACATATATAGTCAATTTTAATCCATATTTTAAATTGACAAAGCCAGAATTATTTATAAAGACTTTCCCATCAAGTTTGCAGGAAATAAAGGTGAGAAATCACGCTCTGCTGCACAAACATTTTATTACATTTACCCACCACCAATATCAATCCCCCATAACAGCACTGCTCCTCAAGAAGGGAAGTGTTGGGGAAAGCAGCCACAGTGCATTAACCTCTGGCTGCCCGTGGCTCCCACATGGTGTCCCTTGCTTGTCCCTTAACACCCTGATGGCAGAGACTGACAACACCCAAGGCTTGTTATGGTGACAGCTTCATGATATCAAGGCCAGATGAAAGTATCATGACATTTAATATGTTCCTGAAGACTTGGCTTCAGGAGCTATTAAGTTTCACAAAGTCTCAGCATCATAAAAGAAGTCTGCCTCAGTCTGAATGGTGACCGAGTGTGGAGAAGAACCTGGAGTGCAGGAAATAAACTTGCATTTGCCAGACTGTGAGGAATGATGGGTGGGAAAAGGGTTCCATCAGTGCCCTAGGCAGATGGCCTTGTCATTGTCAGCCAGAAATGGATGCTCCTGATGCTGTTCCTGTCCTGCAAGAGTGACATGGTTCCTTATCCTAGGAGACTGGGAAAGTCCAGAGCTGTTTATTTCCCTCAGGGGGAAAAGGTTCTGCAGCTGCCAGAAGAGGCTCAGGGTGGTGCATGGGTCACCTTCAGCTGACCTGGGACTGCTTGCAGAAGAAAGGGTCCCAGTGGGGATAGCAAAGTGCCTTTCCATCAACAAGGAGGGATGTCCTTTCACTCTGCAGAGCTTGACTTGGGATCCAGGCTTTTGCACAGAACACTTTTTGGGCTGTGTGGGCCAGTTAGAGCCCAGCCCCACCCCTGGGTGCCACAGAGGCTGTGTCAGTGTCAGACCACACCAGCAGGATGGTGTGTGGTGTGCCATGCACGTGAGCAGGCACTCTCCAGGTGACAGCTCCATTATTTACAGCTGGATCATTGGGAACAGTTGGGTGCTTTCAGCTCTACAAATTGCCTTTCACAACCTGAGCCCCCAGTGAAATGCAGATAAGCAAACCTAATGCCTGAGACAAGGAAATTCTTATTGGACACCAGATGGTTCATATGCAGATAAATGCATAGGGAAGCATGTGGGATTTCAGTCTGGTGTGGAGGTTTCCACACTGAATAACAGGTTTTGTTTCTCTTGGATCAGTGGTGGGGAAAGAAAGCTGCACTGAGTTTATAAGATCTTCTGGGATGAGCCTCCAAAACACACAGCCAGGTATGGAAGCAGTGCAGGGTCTGCAGCACATCTGCTGGAAATAAAGGTAAACAGATTTTTTTATTTGTTGATGTTGCATTATGCACTATTTCATAAATTTGTAAATCTTTGTAAATCTGTGCATTCTGTTCTAGAGAAGACAAAGCCTCTCAGTAAACAAGAGGTGCTTACATTTATGTGCACTGTGTTCCTGGGCTGCCAAACAGTTCTCTTGGGAAGCAAGGCACTCAGAGTCCTGGTCAGTGTTTTCTTTGGAGGACGGCTGCTGAAATATTTTCAATGAGGTTCTTTCTTTCAGTTAGGCATATTTCTTCCACAAACTTTCCAAGGAACAATAATATTTTTTCTCCAAAATATTGGTTATCCAGAAACAAAGTACTCCAGCTAGACCTCAAACTAATTAGTAAATTCTGCAGTGCTGCCTCCTTGTAGTTCTAATTCAGTTAATGTTTATCATTTCCCTCTATGGGCCAAGTTCTCTGCATATGCCATAATTCACACAGAAATGGTAATTCTGACTCAGAAGAGATGGGACGTCTTGACACAGATGAGATCTTGGGGTATTTGGGGTGAGCTTCAGTGTATAGATTAATGGAAGTATAAGACACATTAAGCAATGCTTGAAGTTTGGTTGTGATGTAATTGAAGCTTTCTTTTGTATTTTGATAGCTGCTGAACCAAAATTTTACCTGTAGGCCAGAGGTGGGATTTATCTGGGCATTCACAGAGTGAAGTGTCCCCTGGATTATCAGACAGTAACATGATGATGACTGTCCTTAAAATAATAAAACTCAGGCCTGTAGTAGATTGTTACACCTCAGTAAAACAAAACAACTGCTTCCAGAGGCTGCCAGGCTGCGTTTGTGTTCAAGCTCTCCTCAGGCACAATGAGGCACACACTACACTGCTGCAGAGTGCAGGTGGAAGGAGCAGAAGGTACAGAACTGCAAGGGCTGCCCTGAGAGCCAACACACAGGATGATACATTCCTCTATAAAGATGTGGTGGTTCCCAAGATGTTGAATTTTCAATGCAGTTGTAGGAAACAGATTGGAGGGCAGTAACCTGTCTGTTTTCTTTCTCCTAATCCTGCTGTGTGCATAATAAAGTTTTATCTTCTCCCTTCTTGAAAGTCTTTCTGTATCCACTAGCCAACACAACAGATAATAATGGGGACAGTGTCATCTTTCTATCACCTCATGAAAATATTTTTCATTCCCATGATACAGACCATCAAACTACATAGGATAATCATATTCTTAGTTGCCTGATGCAAAAGGTGATGCTTTAATATCTTATTATGATATTGGATATTAATTTCCTTCTACTCAAAAGCAAAGATGAAAGATCCTGTCACTAATGGACTAATACTTAATTTTTTAAAATTTACTTTGGAAACTGTTTGCATTACATACAAGTCAAGCCAAAAATGAGACTTGGATTTTTCCTTGCCAAAGCAGATTTACCATTCAACTCTTGTAATGAGAAGTTTTATTCAACTGTTTATAGAGCAGTTGCTGACTATAAGGTATCCACGACATTTATATTACCTAGTCGAATATTTCTTATAGATGCATGCTGAAAACTGCTCACATAAAAAAAGCATGAGGGTAATTTGGCTCCAGCTGTCACTGAGCCAAGAGCAGGCCTGCCCACAGCTGCCTGGGTAGGCACACCTTCAGATCCTTGTATAAAATATTCCTCTTCCACTGTCATTCTTGAAAACATACTTTTCCCCTATCACTGTTCATGAATACCAAATAAAAGGTAAAGAAATTGCCCTCAAAGGAAACGCTTCATTTTTATTTAAATGAATACTTAATGAATCTACTTAAGAAGAAATTGCCCCAGGATATTTCTAGAACTATCTGTGAACAGAAACCTGTAAAATTAAAATATTAAATGTTGAACTTTTTATGGAATGGGATAAACCTTTCTTCCTCTTTCAGAGGAATAGAAGTCCTGTGGCAAAGCACACTGCACACAGCTGCTGCTGGTAGGGGTGATGGTGCACCTGGACAAACTGCCTCCATCAGGACCAACAGGCAAAGCACAGCAGGGAAAGCATGGATTCCTTGGGCCCTTGATCCACCATTTCAGCTTATTTGGGCTGTTTGCCATACTTGACTTGCTGGAGGTGCTGGCCCAGGTCTGAATAAGTGCAGCAGTGCTGAGCAGAAAAAGCTCCCACTTTGCTTCAGTGGGTGAGGTGTCCTAGGCTGGTTTCCAATTTAATTTGTAGTAATAGTAGAACCCCTCATGAAATTTCATTCATTAAGCATCTTCCTGCCCCCAAGAAGATATATTACCATTTGAGGCAGAGGGAGGCAAAGACATATCTGGCATGAGACTTTTGACTCAGAGGATGTTCCTCTAGAAGATGAGCATGAGCCTTGGGCAGGTTGCTGTGGTGTTTGCTGGAAAAGGAGAAGTTCAAGAGAAACATCTGCAGAGAAGATCCTGGCAGGGAAGGGGCTGGCTGAGGTTCCACTGGTGCCTGGAGCATGTGCAGGTGCTCAGAGCCACAGGCTGTGAGCAGCAGTAGTTTAAACAGAAGAAAAAAATGCCTAGTGGAGTGAAATATATTGTAGCCATCAGGATGATCAAAAGCAGAGTTTGCTGATTCCTTAGAATTATCAATAAATAGGTATAAATTAAAAAACAAGATCACCTTCACTGAGCTACACTGTCCTGCACCACTACTGTTTCTTGTCCTCCCTGAGAGCTGCAGCACTACCAGCACTGTGCAAACACAAATGTTTCCTCAGCCATGCTGGCATGCATGGCACTGCCTTTCTCTGCTGTTTTTTACTTCAAATCTCTGCTCATTTTCTCACCTCTCTCACCCTGTCATGTTTTCATTAACATGAAATTATTCTCGCTTTGCTTTCCTTCAGCCTTCATATTGGATTTCATTGTAATTTATTTACTGACCTTTTTTCTACTCTTAATGGTTTTTGTTATTGACTGTATGATACCATAAGAGACTAAACACCTTTGTTTATAAGAGGTGCCCCTCAGGACTTTCCAGGCTTTCTTTTATATCCTGCACTGAAATGCTCTATTTTTGAGATCATTCCTAGACCCTGGAAAATGGTGAAAAAGTCATTATTGATTCCACAGGGACAGGTCTGATCACTAAAATTAATAAGACTCTAAGGTGAAAATTTTCACAGCTGTAGCTTACTTCAATACCAATCCTCCTTGTGCATCTGAGAATGCAATCCAAACCACAAGTCAGTAAACAATTAATTGACCTGGTTTTTAAGAGGATATATCAGAGTTAGTAGCAATGTACTTAGGCAGCTTGAGGCAGAATTGAAGTCTCATATTTTTAATGCTTTGTATATTTATAGGTACTGAACTCTGAAGAAAAATGGTGATCATCATCATTGTACATTCCTGTCAAAAACACAAGTCAGAGAATTTCACTGCACCAATTCAGTTAAAGCACATGTCAGAGAAGCATAAAGAGTTAATGATCCTCACATTTAAAATACACTCTGTATTTACAGTCTGGATTTCACTTCAGCCCCTCACTTTAGGCTCTATAAATTTCTCTTTTCAACTGTATAAACCTCTGCTCACTTCTCTCAGCACAAGTACTTAGAGAGAGTGACCAGATACTGAAAGCCATAAATTCTATGAATTTTGCAATATTTTGTGAGATGCCTCAGTGTTCCTTTCATTTTTTTCTTTTTTTAACTATAAATAGAGCCTTCTTTCTGCAACCAGTCTCCAAAGGTCACCTTACAATGTTTTGCTATTTCCCATATTAAGCAGCAATGCTTTTCAGCTGACATTCCAACTTCAAGTCATGCATGTGAGCATGATGCGAGCTTGCTTCAGACCTCAGTGAGAGGGCTGCAAACAAGACTGCTGTATAATTGCCGAGGAAAATAACATCCATTGTCAAAAGGGGCACTTAATCAAACAAAATTTAGCTGCATGAATACAAGTGTCTCCAAATATTTGGTTCATGCTAAAAATATAGCACATTTATTAAAAATATATATTTATAAACATTGGTATGAACAGACACAGATGTTAAGCAAATGAGAAAGGAAAAATAACCACGTAATGTATTTCTCCCAACATTTTATCAGGTTTAGGCAGACCTTGCTCAACAGAATTGTTTTTTTCATGATTGCACCATATGTTCATTCTAAATAAAAAGCTTGTCAGATTCAATGTAAGTAAAAGCAAAAACCAAGAGAAAAAACCATTTGACCTAACAGACACGTGATCTGTGCTATGAAGCTATCTTTGAGTTCAATCTTTGCGGGTATACAGCATACATTTCTAATTATATATAGTTTACAGTTTCTTTCTTTTCCTTTTTTTTTTCCTTTCTTGTATTTTATTTTCTTTTCTTTTTTTTTTTTATTGTTTTAAAACAACATATCCCTGGTGGATTTCTTCAAAGCTACAACTTATATAACTGCAGTCATTCTCCCCCAAACTGAAAACCAAACAGAAAGGGAGAGGGCAGGAAGAAGAGTTAAGCTTATTACTGTGTGAAAAAGTCTTGTTAAATTAATTGTGCTTCAGTCTTCGCTGCCTTCAGGCAGTGCTTTTATGATGTGTTAATATAATACAGAGTCAATTCTGATTAAAGAACTTGTCAATAGTCAGCAATGTTTGTTGTCACTCTTAATGGCCATTTTATCTGGTCTATTTGCATGCCTTCTAGTTTACAACGTTGTATAAATATACACAAAAATGATCACAATGAGGTTCAGAATTGTCCCAATAATTCCAAGCATTGCCAAGATGGTTTCTTCTTTGCTTTCCTTTTCTTGACTGCCTTTATCTTCTTCATTTCCACTAGTGATTACCATCTTGGTGGCCAGTTTCTTTATCCTTCCCTTCAGAATAACCTAGATTTAGGAACAAAAACATCAAAATGGATTATTAATTGGAGTACAGAAGCTCATATTAATAGTGGAACCAATGGCAGAATTTTTGCCCCATAACATATTTTATTAAGAATTCATTTGAAAAGAATTAGTATTTCTATTAGCTGTTCAGTAAATAATTAAAATTACAGTTCAGCTATTCTGTGGTTTACTTATAACCCTCTGCTTATGTGCCAGGAACCACTGCTAGCACACATAACAGCTGCCATAACATAATAAAACTGGTCAGAAATGTACCATGAGGTGAGACTCCTCCAGCATCAGGGGGGACTTTGCCTGCACTGGGATCTTGCCATGTGGTGGAGACCCCATATTTATACTTCAGCCAAGAAGCGAGTGAGGGAAATAAAACTGGAAAGACCTTGCTTCTTTTTTTACTAGGAAAGAATCATTAAAGAGAAAGGCATTTTGTCTCCCGATGAGAAGGAAGACAGCAGTGACTTCTTAATAAATAATTCAAAATAAAAGCAAAACCAAAATAACATCCATCTTGGCTTTTATTTTCCTCGTTCTTAATGTATGATGAAAAGTTACTTGCAGCGCAGTGAGCTGAAATGTATCGATCTGCCTGCAGGGAGAATACAGCCATTTCCCAAGCAACAGCCCCAGCCTAAAAAAAGCAGATTCCTCAAATGTGGGACGAGCCCTGACTCCCAGCACAGCTGAAGCCACAAACAAAGAAGCTTCCTTGGTCTTCCCACCATCGGATTGTTCAAATTAGAAATGGATAAATTCTTATCCGTGTTTATCTAACACTGCAAATTTTAATCACATGGGCAAACCAGAGTGTCCCAGAAAACTGAAAAAGGTTGGCTGATCTCCCAATGCCAACTGATCTGCCAAGATCTGGGTTCAGGCAAAGCCCTGCTGCTGTCTTCCAGGCTACAAGCTATATCCCATCGTATTTCTGCAGCAGAAAGCAGTGGTAGGATGTAGGAAAAAAAATTCCCCAAAAGCTCCTACCTTAAAGAGGGATTTGATTTGGTCCTTTAGTGGACCCTCATTCCTCCCTCCACTAACTCACAGAGCAAAAGCAGTACCTCCCAGGCAGTGCATATATTCAGGGGGGTGAGGGCTCCCCAAAAACTGCCCACCACCTCTGTGGGCACCTCCCCTCCAGCAGGAATCATCAGAGAGGAGCCCTGACCTGCAGCTCCTCTGAGCTGCTCCTGCACTGCACAGCCACAGAGCAGCAGCCGCAGCACTGAAAGGATGGAAAGGACTGGGAGAGGTAAGGAAATCTTGCAATGGAGAGACTGAGAGGAAGAACCTGTATTTTTGTCACACCTGCAAGTGGTTCATATATAGGACAGAGAGTAACTGCTGGCAGTAACACTTCCTAGAAGTGTTTGATTCCCAGCAGGTATAAGGGATTAGTGGCAAGTAAGGCAGAAGTCGGGTTCTGCAGAGGCCTCTGTACTTACACTTGCATTAGCATTTATGTGTTTTGTCTTGTTGTAACCAGTGGATCAGAGGAAAAAATAACAAGGGAGTGAGAAACCTGAGAGTTCCTACAGCAGACAGCTGTCAGTGGGAGCAGGGGGCACCAAGGAGAAGGGCATCAAACAACAGAGCATCAAAAGTCAGAGCATGATCATCCAGAAGATCTTTGGATAACCTGGTCCAGGAAAGCAAAACTTCACAGGCACCAGGTACCTCACAGAGATATGGCTCCAGCCCTCAGAAACTGTCCCCAGAGTTCCTTCAGCCACAGCCATCTCCAGCTCTTCCTGCAGCACCTACCTCTTCCAGCAGCAGAAGGCTTTTGTAATATTTGCCCCAGCTGGTGGCCAGAGGAGGGTTTGGCTGCACCTGGTGCATGTCCTTCCTATCTTGTTAATTGACACTGAGCAGTCAATGGTATCTTAACAAACAACTTGTCTCTGGGAAATCACAGGAGAGTTCCTACCAGTGCCATTTTCACACACGTCACAACCTGAGTGCATCCACTCCGTGTGCCATCGGACCACAAACCCACATCCCCGGCTATGACATGCAGCCATTACTTCACCCACAGAGCCATGAGTCATCTGGATATTCTGTTCTTTTCCCCTTCAGTAACTGGAAGGTTTTCCCTCTGGCCAACTGTTTTCATTTCACTGTTTATTTGAGAAATCAAGTAGGATTAAAAATATAGTCTGATAAAATCCCAGGCCTAGAATGGAAAGATTTGAGGGGAGAGTGAAGTTCTTTCTGGCTGCTTCCCACAAGAGCTGAACACTCTTGATTCAGCACACTGGTTCCCACAGAAATATGATCATACCCAAGCATCCTGTGGGTCAAGCCTTTCTGGCTTGAAAAAAGCCAGAGAAGGTACAATTTGACTCTGCATCCTGTGCTTTGGGCAGTTTCCCATTCACACCAAAAAACCCACAGAGAGTGGGGCAAAGCCCCAGCTCTCAAGGGGCAGCTTGGCTCTGCAGCCACTGGCGCTCTTAATTTTGGTACAGTGACCCTGCACCACATGTGCTAGGAAATCCTGACTCCAGGATTAGTGTGAACAGAGGCAGCATGGGGCTCAGACAGCATCTGATCTCCTATTATTAACATTCCCATTCTTTTCTTAATAAACTGTGCAGCAAGAAGTCAATATCAAATTCTCTCCTGCAGAACGTTAGATCCTAAAATTAACATCCATCTAAAAAGTAGCTAAATAATTCACACATGAAGGAGACATATCAAAGGCTGTTAGATATAAAGACAAAGCCTCTGGCTTAGCAAATCCTTGAGTTATGAATTTTTTGTAAGCTATGAAATTATTCTGGGGAAGTACCACCACACCTTTGCCTTATTATTAAAGTCTCTCCCAGGCACCCATTACTGGCTAATGAGAAAGGCAGAGATCCTTGGGCTGCACAATCACGTTTTTCCTCTTTGCAAGTTGTACTTATTAGCAAGGAGATAGTGGGTGGTTTCAGGTGACATGGATCAGACTGCCAGGTTATTTCTGTCCCACTAAGAGGCCTTACCTGAGGGAGAAGTGCTCAGTGTGATGCAACAAAATATGCACAGAGAAGCTGGTGGCTGGACCATGATGAACAACAAGGGAGCATCAGCAGCTGAGAGTTTGCAGAGGGGCTGATGCACAGTGTGATTTGTTGGAGGTTGTGTCTATGTGCCTGTGCGCTGCATTTGGATCACACTATGGTGATCCTGGGACTGCATAAACTGCATCTTTCTTGGACAAAGCTACACCCAAAAAAGTACTTTCAGCCCATGGCAGCAGGGATCCAGACAAAAGCTGGTGTGAAGTATAACCCCCAGAAAAAACACAGTGTGGGCACTGGCAGCACGGGTTTCCCTGGAGGGATTGCTCCAGCAGGTCTGCACTGCTCTCCATTTTATACAGCACCTAAGGAACAAGAGGCAGCACACAAAGGCTTGGTCTTAAGAGGAGTTTAACATTCAAACAGGACATGACTGGGACCAAACACAATTATATTAATACTTTGCCAAATATAGCACTGTTGAAATCAAGGTAAGCGTTGACTTTGTACAGGGAGGAGAGCAGAATGAAAATTACTTCTCCATATGTAAGGACTGACCTTGGGAGAAGAGTAGCACTCTCCTAATGGCAGACTCAAGCCTTTAACCTTCACAGGTCTCATGCTCAGAGTGGTATTTTTGCTGCCTGAGGTTTGGGGGTGTTTTTTTCTACTGGGGAAATACTTGCTGTCAGTTTTAGTATAATTACCCCAATTAAGAAAATAGAAAAGTCATCTGGCTTTCTGGGTATCTCTTCTCAGTCTTTATTATTCTCTTCTAGAAATGGATTTCATTTATTTGACATTATTTAATATTTTTATGATTCTTATGACACATTTTTCCTTTTGTATTTTTCTGGTGGTACTTCAAGCTTGACAGAAACATTTCTTTTCCTTACCCAGAACCACGGCTAGAACTGCTCAGATAGGAGGGCTAGAGAACACTAAATTTACCATTTCTTTTAATAACTATCCTTCTTATTTAATTGCTATCTCATTAGGAAAGCACTTTCCTGCCACATCAAAATTAATGTCTTTCCTACTTCATTTTGTAAGATTCATCATTAACCCAACATCAGCCTTTGTACGGATACATATTCCAAAAAGCTATCAATTAAAAGATAAATATTCTGTGTATTCTGCACTGCACATGGGAGACAAGGACAGTTCAGTGGTTAGGAAACTCCTTGCACTATTCATCTCCTTGCACTTCTGCTGGCTTCATTCCTTATATCTACAGGAAATTCACTTATTCTCTCTGCTTCAGTTTTTCATCTGTGGGATTCTTTGAAGAATGAGTTATTCAGCCTACAGCAGAAAATGGTTCATAAAAAAGGTGGGGCCTTGCAAATACTTCGTTTCCATATTCATTCCAAAACAGGAACACACTAACATGAAAAGTTTTACATCCAGCTGTGCTATGAAATACACCCACTACCATCTCCCCAAATCTTGGGAACATTCTGCACATCACTACTCCCATTGCAAACAATCCAATGAACCAGGAAAAGCATTCCTAGCAAAAGATCTTTTTGCATCTTTTCACCCAGCATGGCTGATCTAAAGGTGATGGCTTGATGGCAGGGCTTTGGAAAAGGCAGTAGCAAGTGCATGTTTGAGAATTTACTGCAGTGTGTTTGTCACATCAAACATACAAAGCACATCCCTCACAAAGCACCTGCCCTGACATATCTGACAGTTTTTGAATATTCTGGCACCTTGACTTGATCTTGAGAAACTTTTGTAATATTAAATCATTTCTCCTCTAAGTCATTATTTATGAGCTCCCCAAAGAGGCTGCCAAGTGGAGGGCTCAGCCTGCAGAATCTGAGCTCCTGGGAACTCAGAGAAGGGGAGGATCATCCAGGCCCTCAGTGCTCCTCCTGATCAGCCCTGTGCTGTCATGTGTTATCTGGCACCTTGAAAAACAAGAATGGAAACTTCTGAAAACCTCCCAGGGTCAGATGCTCAGCTAGT